ACATACCTCTGGTTAGTGGCATATCCAAATGGAAACCAGATCTTCTGACTCCCATGCCAAGCTCTTTCTAACTAATGCAAGACCTACTTGACTTTTTTGAAGAGTTAATGAAGTATGAGCTTTTGTTCTGTGAGGATAAGCCCTATTGGAAATACGTCTATCAGATTAGATGTTGAAGAGAGACTTATTTCTGAGAACTATAGAGTATGGAATTAATTTGAGAAAATAGTTGTCTAGCCAGTTGGTAAAAGCAGCCTGCAGAATGTAGACCATATTGCTGATGTAATTATTTTAGATGCTACCAAATGAGAGAACATTTTGATAACTCTCTAGAGAACAAGATTTTCATTGTTAACGATAGGACATCACTCCCTGAATTCCACATCCATTGAATAAGCTTACATTAAAATATTTCTTTTTTTATTCCTCAGATACTTGCATATCAGTGGTGATTGAGCATATAGGAAAGTGTTGACCACTTATTTAGTGAACCTGGACAGATAATTTGGATAACTTAGGTTTTCAAATACTATTTATTTTTCAATAGGCATATGTAATTCATTTCTTTAGCTTAAATTAGATAAATATACAAATCTCAGTTTTGAGTTGCTATTGTTGTCAGATCTAAAGAAGTGAGATTCATAACGATGGTGAAAATTCCAGGTTCTTTTGTCCAACTTTTCTCTATCCCAGGATATGGAAAATACATGTAACTTACAGTTCCTTTAAATACCATATTGTTTTAAATTTATATCCTTTTCTTGAAGATGCATATTATACATGACTCTTATAAAATATTTCTCTGGACCTCTCTACATCTTTTAGTAATGGTACAGGACAATGTTTTTTTTTTTTTTAGCTGGGCCATCCTGCCACCTGTTGGCAGCTCAGCTTGGGGCGGGAATCAAACCGGCAACCCTGTTGCTCAGAGCTCACTCTTAACCAACTGAGCCACTCACTCAGCCGGCCTCGACAATGTCTTTCAATATCATGAAGAAGCACACAGAGACTCCCCTGGAACTGACAGTCTACATCTGATATTTTCTTTATAATATTTAAACTGAAGAAGAATGCCTGAAGCAAGGGGTGTTGTAATATCAGCTGCATGCAGGGCAGGCTGCTGAGGGCCATGTGTCAATAGCTCCCTAGGGGAGGCTTACTACTCCTTTTGCGTGAGCATGATTATGCCCCATAGGGAAAAGGAGCAGATAAAATGTTTTCCCAAACAAATCTCACTCCTTCCAACAAAATCTACAGCACTGTTATGTTCATGGGGAGACTTCCCATTATAAGTTTATTGACTTCTGAGTTGAAGATATGAAACCATAGTTATTATTTTTTTAATAAAAAATTTAAATGCACACCTTCTGGTTAGTTTCCAAGATGAATTATTAATATCATGGAAAATTACTAACTGAATTTAATGAAAAGAAAACCTTTATGATATTAGCGGGTGGAATTTAAAAATTAGCATTACAGTTTATTAAGTGTGGTCAATGATGCATTTCTTTCTTTTGGATCTTCATGCCAATATGAGGTATCATTTTTTGATTATGATGGTCCTAAAAAGCAAGGTATAGAAATAAAGTGGGCTTAGAACTGAAATATTCAAAGTTGTAAATTTAGACAAAAATTACCTTTAGAAATAAAATGATACACTGTACTGGAGGGAACCCTGAAAAAGAATTCTGTACTGATAAGCAAACATGACTGTTTGTTAGCTGCATATTCTCTGCCAAGTTACTAAACAAACAGTAGAGGAACAAAAACCATTTGGAGAAATCTGGATGAATTATCATTGGTTAATTTCAGCTGGCTTACTTTCCACTTGCAGCATAGATATAAGCTTCGTCATGTACAGAAACATTGAAATGGTTAAACTTGCAAAAGAAGCCTTTGAAAGACTATTAAAACCAGCTTGTCTCAGTTGAAGCAATTAAGCCCTTAAAATTGTATCTATCTGAAGTGGTACAGAAAGTGCCAATGGTTTAAAATAATTCTTTTGAAATGCACATGTTTAATGAAAGTCATTTTTGGAATATTAAACTTATGAAATGATTCCTAAGGATATGGTATCAGAGCAACAGAAAAGACTCCAAACCCGTATCCAACTGCCTATTCTTGATTTCCAATTAAATGTCACAAGAATACCCTGAATTAAACATATTTAAGACTGAACCATGTTTCTCTTCAGATCTGGTTCTCATTGTTTCCTGTCACATAAAATGGCTGTTTTTAAATCTTCAATGAGAAATGACTTTAACTAGAAAGGTAGATGAAGAAAATATGGATATGTGTGGGAAACATGCATTAATTTTAGCCATGTTGAATGAAGTTGGCACAGGCAAGAGGAATACTCTGTGGACACTTGGAATTAAGAGTCTGGGGAGACAGATTTGGGTTGGGGATGTAGATTTGTGAGTCATCTGCTGGAGGTAATAGGTGAAGTTAAGGGAGACAAATGAGCATTGGAGAGGCGGAAAAAGGTAGAAAAGAGAGGAGCCAGAGAAGCTTATTGTGTATCAAAGTCAAAGGGAGTTTAATAAGAAAAGGGTGATGTCAAGAATCCCAGTGGATGAGGAATGAGATAAAGCCATGAGATTGAATGACTTGAGAGGTTCAGAAATATGGTTAGAATAGAAGTCAATTACATTCATTATAAAAAGGTATGTGTGTGTGTTCTAGTCCTTGCTTTACCTCTACCTGGTTGCTTGTCTAATGTCTGATTTCAAATTGCTAGTGTCACTGCGCCTTGGCTTTCTCATCTTTAAAATGAGGGGCTTCCTTAGATAAACTCTTCTAGATTCTAAGAAGTTGAAGTAGACACTTTCAGTGAATGAAAGCGTGAATGAATGAAACTAGATGTACTTCCTACCAGTTCTAGAATTTCCATAGTTAAGAAGTGGTGAATACTGACTACTCACTTTAAAAGGGAGCCTTGCTGTGAAAGGAAGACCATCAGTAAGAAATGGATTATCTAATGGAGATAGTATTATCAAGGAAAGGATTCTCAAGACAACAAAGACTCTTGGATTATTTTATCATTTTGATCCTATAAAATGATGCTTTGTAATATTACAAAGTAAAAAGACACAGGAGACCCTTGCACTTAATTTTTTTAGTGACGCTTATTTTTGTTTTGATTTTTTGTGAAATTATATAACATGCAATTCTGCTAAGTATGGGTTACTTTGATAACATTTATTAGGTGATAGCATTGGTAACATTGGAATTCAACAATGTGCAAGAAAAAAAACATATTGTAAATGCTGCATTGTCTTTGTTAATTGTTTTCCTATATATTGCCAGAATGTGTGTGTGTGTGTGTGTGTGTGTGTGTGTGTGTGTGTGTGTGTGTGTGTGTTTTCCTTTTCCAACAAATTCAACCTACTCAAAAAACCAGTAGGTGACTTAGGGCACCAGGGCTGGTAAAATAATTGTTTGAATCTCAAGTCTAGATTTTCAATATTTGCAGTGAAACGTTGTGAAAGGCTGATGCTAAGTCCAAGGTGAGTTGACAGAGAGTCTAAGAATTTTGAGTGGACTTATTTTTCAATATAGAATTATTACTATATAATGGGTATGTAGCATGTCCTTTATGGAATCTTTTCTTCCCATTTAAAATTTTTTCCTCCAGTAGTTTATTTGTAAATTTATTATAAATTATTTATATTTATATAATACATTAAAATATATAGTATATGAGGTGTGATAGAAAATACAGTGAATGTTTAAATGAAAAAGTGCAGGGCCGGCCGAGTGGCGTGATGGTTAAGAACTGGCTTGGGACGCCAGAGGGCCCCGGTTCGGATCCCACATATGAGGGCCAGTGACACTGCCCTCCACAGCTAAGATGCTGAACAACAGCTCAACCTGGAGCTGGGCTGCCGTGAGTCGCTGGCGACGGCGTGGGCTGCAGTCCCTGTGGCAGTGGATTGCCTTGGGCTACCGTGTGTAGCCAGCAGCCAGCGTGAGCGGCCAGCAGCCGCTGTGAGCGGCCGTCCAGAAGCCGGCGACTGATCTGCCTCGCCAGGGAAGAGCGCAATGATGGTGCCAACTTGGGCCAGTGAAGCAATGTCCTCCACAACTAGACTGAAGAACAAAACGACAGCAACTTGTCTGTTCCCCTTCCCCCAATTCCCCAGCACTGTTTCCATCCCCCCAATTCCCCAATAAAAATCTTAAAAAAAAAGTGTATTATAGTAAAAGACACATTGCTATTAACCCCCCTCAAAATACTCCCCACTTGCTTTGAACCTATCCCCTCGTTTGTGCCACTTTCTGAAGCAGTTCTGGAAGTCCTCTTTTGTGGGTGTCTTTACTTCATCCTCCTTCGTGACAACGCTCTGTGTCACACATCGCTTCTAGCAGAGAACTTTCTGTCAAGTAAAAACACTACAGTGTGTCCTCATCCACCTTATTCACAGGATCTGGTGGCAACGCACAACTTCTGTCCCTTCCCCAAAGTCAAAATGATTCAGGACATCGAGGCAGCCACCACAGCGCAACTAAAGACACTCAGGAAAAAGGACTTCCAGAACTGCTTCAGAAAGTGGCAAGAATAATGGGATAAGTGTGTTTGAAGCAAGGTGGAGTATTTTGAGGGGGATTAATGGCAATATGCCTTTTACTGTAATACATTTTTGAAAAAATTTAAACATTCACCATAGTTTTGATCACACCTCATATGTAATCATACTTATAAACAATTTATTTTCTGGAATTTTTTCATTAATATCTATGAGGGGGATTTTCTCAGTGAAGAGACCTTGAATTATAAAACTGGATTCTAGAATTTTCTGACAATCATTCCAACTGCAAATGGCTTTATATGATACCTATCTCAGAGAAACCATTCTTCTGGGAAGCTGATGACATGCTGGGTACATTCTCTAATTTAATCAGAAGGACGCAGCTGTCTTTCCTAAATCTGATGAGCAAGGGACAAATCAAAGCAGAAAAAAAAAAAGTAACTTTAATACCCAGAATTCATCACAGCATTTAGATAATTAGAATTTCACTTTATTTCAGAATAAGTTTACAACTGAAAAAAGATATTTACTAAAGCCACAACATTATTCATATGGACAAAACTTTTATAGCAAAACCTTGGTACATGAGCATTTAGTAATTTGAATCTTATATGGATATAGAAGATATCTAAAAAACGAAAATGATATCTATATTCCAAAGGCTATGATAGGCACAATATATATGCTTGTATTGGGTCTGCAAGCATTATACTATAATTCATTACACGTGATCCAAGAAGTTGCAGCTTTTTCAGCACTATGTACTAAAAATATATAAGGGAGTATGATGGTTACTGTTATGTTGAAAAAGCATGTACTATCAATACTACAAAATAGGAGCAACAACTAAACCAACAAACAATTCCTTAGGTTTTAGAAGAAGTTATACATCTATGGCTTTTTTGTGTGTTCATTTTTGAGCCTGGTTAACATGTCTGGCAAGGGAAAAAGAAGAAAGTAGCATGTAATAAAACATTAAAGACATCACTTACAAGGCATCTGATATTTAACAGGTTAAAAATTGGAAAACAAAAATTAAGCTTGATCTTACAGCAAAATTGTGAGGTATGATATCTGCTTCCTCCCACCAATCTTTTGGCATAAAATTCTTTATGCAGAAAAGTAAAAGTTTTTGAAGTGACATGGTAGAAAAATATTTATAGTAAATCATTACAATTTACTTCTGGTTTTAAGTAACTGTAAATAAAACAAGTCTTCCAAGGACCAGGAAACTGAATATGGTCCTTAGTATGGAATTTTGTAAAAACATGGGTCGAAATATATATTAATTCTGACAGAGCATTCACGCTGATAAAGGTGAACATTCGGTAATAATAAGAAAAAAAATGGTAAAATTTTCAGAGTATACGACTACTACATCATATTGAAATTGTCTAAAAGGTAAAAATGTACATCTTAAATTCTCAAAGGTTTTATTTCCCAACTAGCAATTAAATGTAAGTGCAAAAGTGAATCATGCAATATTTTTACCTAGCAGCTACTGTGTTGATGTGAGGGGAACAGAATTCTTTTGTTTCCTTTTAAATGTGCAATGCTCACAGCTCATCATGTGGAACTCAAATCACACAGAAAGGCAAATCATGAAGAAATGTTAAATACTTCAAAATGCCCATAAAGGCGTGCCAGAAATGATGCTGTTTCTTACAGCACAGAATTGTTGGTGGCCAAAACTGAAGTAGTAGGTGCTACCACAACTTCTGGTCTTTAATGCTGCCTTTTTGTCTTCCTTCCTTTCTTCTTCTTTCCTTCCTTCCTTCCTTCCTTCCTTCCTTCCTTCCTTCCTTCCTTCCTTTCTTTCTTTCTTCTTTCTTTTTTTTTTTTTTTTGATGTGGGGATTCAGATCAGGGGTTCTGTCTCTCTGGAGGTTAAGCCATAATTTCTGCAGGTTCAGTGACCAACTTGGATCCATCCCATGCTGTCTTGAACTGTTCAGGAACAGGAAATTCTCTCTAGAAAAAGGCAAGTGGAGCAGAGTTATTTAAACCAAGGCTTCCTTTTGCAAACAGATGGAAGGTCTGATGAGTGTCACATGATGGACAAAGACTTTTATGGAACTCAAACCCGTATCATGGCGAGGACTTCTGTGTCACATGGAGACTTGCATAATCACGTGTCAGTTCTGGAACAATCTGCCAGCCCCATCATTAAAACTAGAACTTACCAAGAACCAGACTTTTTTTTTAAGCACTGGTTATAGATGAACTCGGTCAATCTCCTACATCCCTATAAGCTAGATATTAATTGAGATGACATCTACAGCAAAGAGAGGCCTGAGAGGTTAAGTAACTGGCCCAAGTTGGTATCACTGGTAAGCAGAGCAGCCAGAATTCAAACCTAGACAGCTTCTGTTACCTATGACTCTCCACCAAACTCAAACATGCACAGAAATCAACTGGGGATCTTGTTAAAATGCAGACTTGGATTTAGCAGATCTGTGGAAGAGAATGACAATCTGCATTTCCAACAAATTCCCTGAAGATGCCAAGGCCGCTGGTCCCATCACACCGAGTAGAAACACTTTATCCTGGTGTTACCTGTCTACTCGTTGATGAAATATAAAAATGTGCTTTGGGCTATATATGAATGTGTTACCCTTCATCCTGCCACCCTACTCTTCCCATTAGGAAAGGGATGCACACGCACCACACGCATACACCACATACCGCACACAGAGAGAAAAAATGCAGAATAGCCTAAATAAAGGTGGTTTCGAATCTCTCCTTTCCCAGAGAGTGATTTTCCAGTTATTTCAGAAGAGGATCAAAAAAGGGAGGTGAGGAGCAGTCCCCTTGGCCCCAGCTCTGAGGCCTCCCTGGACTTCCTGTATACACAGTGCTGCTGAAACCCCAGCAGTATGATGAGCTGACGCCTGTGCTCACCATCAAGTGAGACGTGATGTTTCATGGGATACACACATGAGAACATATCTTCTTAGATGTAGGATCCAACTGTTTCTTTAGGAAGAAGTCATTATTTATTTATGTTAAAGGGAAGGCCCTGTCTATAACGTGTGATGAATTCTCCTTGAGTGAAGTCTGCAATGCAAAGTCTTAAGATGAAGCAAAGGAGGCAGTCTTAATAATCTAGTGTGTTAGTGTGTGTGTGTGTGTGTGTGTGTGTGTGTGTGTGTGTGTGTGTGTGTGTGTGTGTCTGTGTAGCCAATATCTCTTCTGAGGCTTTTCTTTGATGAGTAAATAAGGCCAGGTAGAGAATGCTTAGGGGTAAAGGCACCTCTTTGATAGTATCTGCACTTTAGCCATCCCCAATCTTTTTGGGGAGTAAAGTGATAGTAATATGATAACAGATCTTCTGTGGGGGACTGATTTCTTTTGGTTTGCACCATTTCTACCATCCATTCCCAGATGACAATGCCCACAGCAGGACCTCTGTATTGCTCCCTATTATCTCCAACTGGAAAATGTGGGAAGAGGGCCTAGAACAGAGGGCATGAGATAATTTACTCATAGAGGGAAGACTGGACTGTTCAAGCTCAGGTTTTGATCTATACTCATCCTTCAGGTAAACAGATCTCACTCTTGGCTCCACATTGAAATCTCCTAGGAAGCTTTAAGATATACAGATGCCATGGGATTGTAGCTTCATCAGTCTGGAGTGCTCACCCAAACCTCATTGCTTTTCTTAGCACATCCAGTTCCCATGCAGCTGAGCCCTCTGCTTAAAAAGCTGCAAAGGCCAGGGCTCGCCCTAAGTTTTGGCTCTCCTCTCTGGAGCTACTCTGTATTGGCTATAGCACTGAGTGGGTTGTTTCAGGTGGAGAATGTGGGAGGAGGATTTTTTGCCTCAGTGTTAGGCTGGCCATACACCTAGTGGTGAAGCATGGCCTATTGCTGGCAGACTTTTGTTTTTTAGACTTAAATGATAAATTTCTAGGCTGCAATATGTAGCACGTGTCTGGGTAGCACTAAAGAACTTACTGATGTTAGGGGAAGGAGAGATTAGTGGGCATTTGGTCCTGTCCAAAACATCCATGGAGACATTTGGCCCATGCCAAAAGGTCCTTAAAATGTGGTCCTGTCCGAAACATCCATACTTAGAAAACATTTCTGGGTTCAAACAGCCCAGAATGTTTTATTTCTACTTTTGGTTTACAGGATGAATAGATAAAAAATAGTGCCATGTTTTGTGGGTCCAATAATTGTGTTGTGGCTGTGTTGACAATAATAACCCTTCTTCCCTGGTTAGCCTGGCTGGTAACAGCACAGGGGTTAGATAGGCGGGTCAGGGTTTAAATCTCTCAGAAAAGTGGGATTTATATTAATTTTGGACCAAATGTCTCCCTGGACATTTGGACAAAACACAATGTCCTGCAAGTAAAGGAGAACATGAGAACAGTCATGTTTTCTGTCTAAGGAGATTAACTAGAGTGCTGACGGCTGTGTAGACAGCTGGTGATTGACCCACAGGCTGATGAGGGCCCCTCTTCCAAAGGTGTGTCTGCTAAGGCATGTTTTCTCCCATCTTCCCCAATTCACGGCACCCTCTCACAGTTAGAATCAGGGGGAATAGTCTCTGGGTTTATTTCCATACTTCCAAGAAGCAATAACTAGTAGAAAGCAATAGCTTGCTTCCAAATAGCAACAACTGGCAGGTCCACCACATTGTGATGCAGAGGATGCATTTATTTATATTTCTTTTTCAACATAGGAGGATATCTGCATGCTTCAGTTAGAAGCTGCTTTGTTGGGGGAGAGGAGGCAATGAAAATAAATGGTGGCAAATCACTTAGGCCAGTGTTTCTCAGAAGGATCACTGGATGGACTATTGGCCTATTAAAATATAGATTTCCAGACCTCACTCCAAGCCTCCCGAATCCCCTCTAGGTGTGGCCTTTGGGAGCCGACATTTTCATCAAGCTTCCCAGTGGATTCTTATGCTGAGTTTGCGAACTTCTGACATAAGAAAAACCTACACAAATAAATCTACTTATCACCCCCTATTTTTCCCCCAAAGCATTTCTCCCTGTTTTCTGTTTGCCTCCAGTATAGCACAAGAAAAATATTCAGTCCTAACTTATATAAACTCACATGCATGGTGTACTACTTGATAAATGGTAGTCCACCAAGGTAATTATTAGTAAACTGCCTGGAGTCACAAATCCAGGAGTGAGCATAGTCAAGAAACTAATAGGAGAGAGGATATGTAAAGGCAACTCTCTGAATGCCTCTCCTGCCTGTGAACTATTCTACAAATGAAGCTCATAGATTGGTAGCTGACTGATTAATCATTCTCTAACAATGTTAATAATGAAGGCTCAAGAAAAATTCTTTACAGTCTTTTAAAAGGTACTTACATAATCACCATCCTGAGGGATAAGAACATTCATTTCAGATGACTTGGCACTCACTATCTCACAGTCTAACGCATCTTCACTGAGATATATGTGGCAGCCTTCTGTCTTATTAATGGAAATTGTTGGCACTCTCCCCATTACCTGAAATAGAAAAAAAATATCTGGGACCAAAGCAAGGAAATGGAAATACAGCGTCCTCAAATAAGTACAATCCATGGGTCTAACCAAGCATTAGCAATAGCTGGGTCAGGGCCGGAGAGGTGGGTTAACTGCACGGTCTCCAGTCTGAATTAAGTGTCACTTGGGGACAGAACGAAAGGACCACACAAGGGGATTCTCAAACCTCAGGGTCTCTTTCCTGAGACAAAATAAAGGGATTAATTTGAAAACAGCAGCTAAATGTTGAGAAAAAGTCTCACAACCCTGTTAGTGGATTTGAAACATATATTTGATTTCATGATAAAGGAAACAAGATGCATTTGCTTTTATGTGCTTAAAATTTTAGTTTTTACAAATCTCTATGAAAGTGGGAATAAAACAAGTACTAATACTGTCATTTAAGAGCAAATAAGTTATTCTGTAATTGAGTAGATTTCTCCTGAACCTAAATAAGAATAAATAAGAAACAGTACAATTCTTTTCACATAAGTTCTTTGCCAGATAAAAATCTCACTGGCTGAATGTGAAGCTTAAATGAGATAATGAGTGTCTAGGTATTTTGAAATGTATTAATTTCAGGAGCGAAAACTGGAGACGTAGTTTTAGCCACTCATTGTATAGCTAAAAGGGACCATACACAAGAGGAGGCGATTCTTTGTATTGTTTACAAATAACTAAGTGCTATAAAATTTTTGATCAGTTTTAAATTTCTCTTTTAACAGTTTTCAAACATCCCCCCAACATCTCTATAGGGGCAGACTGTTCCCCCAATGACCATATTACAACTCTATAATTTTCCTTCTTGTAATGGTAATTGAAGTGATAAACACATCTCCTGTTTCACCCTGAAGAAAAGGCTGGATTGCAAACCAAAGAAGCAACTCCTGTTGATGGTGCAGGTGATGTAAAGAATTCCTTAGGGGGAGTCTAGCCAGGTCACCACACTTCTCTGTTTTCTCCTCTCTCCATAGAAACTGGACACCAACTTGGAATTGAGCCCCAGTGGGAAAAAAAAAAAAAGGTAGAGGTAGTTCAAGGTCAGGTAAGCACAGGGCTTTGCCATAAATAAAATAAAATAAAAATAATACATAAATCTGTATTTCAAGAATGTGTCAGGAGTAATGTTCTGGCAATTTCTAGATTTGTTTATTTTATAATGATGAAGAGCATTTATATAATGACTAGAACTGTATGAATACCAGGCAAGGAAAGGAAAGGAGTAAATCATCAAAAAAGCGAGTCTTTTATGAGACAGAGTGGGGCCACATGAGGCAAGCACATTATGCTAATACATTTTATTTATATTTATATATTGCTATACTATGCTAAAAATGCTGAAACACCTTATGTTTTTGAAAATCTGAAAAGCAATAGCAAAATTTTTTTTTAAAGCCTCAATATGGTAAGAACTGTCATTTCCACAGCATTTCAGTCAATACTGCATTAGAGTAGACTATACATGCACTTTTCCCTGGTAGTCTGTGAACATTTTGAGAACAGAGATTATTTCTTATCAGGGGAACTGGGCCAGAGTAGCTCTTCTGATGAGTGACAGGTGATATGTGACTTTGCCCAGGCCAATGCTCTAGTATTGAATACATGTTTCTGTATTAGTTTTGTTTTCCGAAAATTTATTTCTCCATAAAATTTCCAAAATTTCTGTGGAATCTCCTAGTCTCTTCTCTCTCCTATAATTTGTACTCTTTTCTAGGCTAGTTTGCCCAAAACAGAATTACTGGATCAAATCATATGAACTTTGGCCCATGCCCTTTTTTCCCCTTTCAATCTTTAAAAAAAAAATTACTGAGGTAAAATCTGCAAATATAAAATTCACCTGGTTTAAGTGTACAATTTAATTATATTTAGTAAATTTACAGTCATGCAACCATCACTTCAATTCAGCTTTAGAATATTTCCATCATCCCCGAAATATCTCTAAAGACCATTTACACTCAATCCCTGTCCTCACCCCCAGGCAACCACTAATCTGCTTTCTGTCTCTATTGTGTCCAGGCCCTTTTAAAACATTGTAGTAAATGTTTTTTAATTAATTAGCAAAATTGTTTTCAATTACAGCTAACATTCAATATTTTATTAGTTTCAGGTGTACAGCATAGTGGTTAGACATTTATACAATTTAAGAAATGACCCCCCTGACTAGTCCACCTGGCACTATACAAAGTTATTACTATATTATTTACTATATGTATTCCCTATGCCATACTTTACATCCCCATGACTATTTTGTAATTGCCATTTGTACTTCTTAATCCCTTCCCCTTTATCATGCAGTCCCCAACCCCCCTGCATCTGACAATCATCAGTTTGTTCTCTGGATCTGTTTGTTTCTGTTTCGTTTATTAGTTTATTAAATGTTTTAAATAGGTAATGACATTCACTTGGTTTGAACATCCCAAAATTCGAAAAGTATTCAGTAAAATTCTGAGCTACACTGCCAAGTTTCTGTCCTTCTTTGGACAGAAGGATAACCATGGTTTATCCTTCCAGATTATTTTTAGAATACATGCCCATATCCTTAAAAAACTATGATATATTTCAAACATAAAAACATACAAAGAACATTATAAAAACATGTAAATAAGTGTACATATGTGTCTGTCAAACAGGTTTAGCAGAGTTTACCATTTGGCTTCTTTGCTTTTATAGTCTATAATCTTACAGTATCATTGAAGCCCCCTCTATACCATTCACCACCTCCTTCACTTCCCTTCCTCCCACCCCAGATGTAACTATTCTTTTGAACTTTGTATTTATCATGCATACCAGGTCTGTCCCTTTGGTAGGTGATCTTGAGCCCTCGTAAGTATATTTAACATAGGCACATAGTTTTGCATGTTTTCAATCTTTATATAAAGAGACATGTTGTACAGTGCCTGCCATTCTGTAACTTGCCTTTATTTATTAAAGAATTAAAAAAATTTTTCAGTTACAATTGACATACAATATTATATTAGTTTCAGGTGTAAAACATAATGATTAGACATTTATATAATTTATGAAGTTATCACCCCAACAAATCTAGTATCCGTTTGATACCATACATAGTTATTACAGTAGTATTGATTATATACGAGTATGTATTCCTTATGCTATACTTTACATCCCCATGACTGTTTTGTAACTACCAACTTGCATATCTTAATCCCTTTCCCTTTTCACCCGTTCCCAATCCCCCTCCCAGCTGGCAACCATCAAAATGTTCTCTGTATCTATGAGTCTGTCTGTTTCTGTCTTGTTTATTTTGTTCTTTAGGTTCCATGTATATGTGAAATAATATGGCATTTGTCTTTCTCTGAGTTACTCCACTCAGCACAATACCCTCCAAGTCCATCCATGTTGTTGCATATGGCAAGATTACGTTCTTTTTTGTGGCTGAGTAATATTTCATTGTATATATGTACTGTCTCTCTTTTTTTTTTTTTTTTTTAGCTGAGCCATCCTGCTACCTGTTGGCAGCTCAGCGGCTGCTCAGCTTGGGCTGGACTCGAACCGCTGTTGCTCAGAGCTCAAACTCTTGAGTGAGCTCTTAGCCAACTGAGCCACTCAGCCAGCCCTTGTACCATCTCTTATTTATCCATTCATTCACTGATGGACACCCAGGTTGCCTCCATATCTTGGCCATTGTAAATAATGCTTCAGTGCATATATGGATGCATATATCCCCTTGAAGTAGCATTTTGGGTTTCTTTGGATAAATAGCAAGAAGTGAGATTACTAGGTCCTTCTTTGTTTCTCGTTATAGCCTTTGTTTTAAAGTCTACTTTGTATGGCGTAAGTATTGCTACTTCAGCTTTTTTATTTTTTTTGCTTCCATTTTCATGAAATATCTTTTTCCATTCCTTTACTTTCAGTCTGTGTGTGTCTTTCAATCTAAAGTGAGTCCCTTGTAGACAGCATATGTAAGAGTCTTGTTTTCTTATCCATTCAGCCACCCTTTATTATTAGTTTCAGGTGTACAAAACAATGTAATAGACATTTACAGCCCTCACAAAGTGATAGCCCTCCTCCCCAAATCTACTACCTCTTTGACATCACATATAGCTGTTACAATTCCATTGACTCTCTTCCCTATGCTGTACTTCACATCCTGTAAATACACACACACACACACACACACACACACACACATATATTAAATTATAGATAACATTCATTATTATTCAGCATCAGCTTTCAGGGAGACCACCCTATCTTTGATTAGAGCATTTAATCCATTTACGTTGAAAGTAATTATTGATATGTAGTTATTGTCACTTTATTATTCATATTTTTTATCTTCTTCTTAAAGAAGTCCCTCTAACATTTCTTGTAATACTGGTTTGGTGTTGATGAATTCCTTTAACTTTTTCTTTATCTGTCCTTCAATTCTAAATGATAGCTTTGTAGAGTAATCTTGGTTATAGGTCCTCGCTTTTTATGACTTTGAATAGTTTGTGCCAATCCCTTCTGGCCTGTAACATTTCTGTTGAGAAATCAGCTGACAGCTTATGGGAGCTTGTTGGTAATTAACTGCTTTTCTCGGCACTCTCAGATGGTAAGAGCATGAGACTCTTAATTGCTTTTTTCTGGCTGCTTTTAGGATTCTCTCTTCGTCTTCAATATTTGGCATTTTAATTATGATGTATCTTGCTTTGGGCCTCTTTGGGTTCATCTTGTTTGGGACTTTCTGTGCTTCCTGGGCTTGCATGGCTATTTCCTTCACCACGTTAGAAAGTTTTCCATCATTATTTCTTTAAATAGGTTTTCAATTCCTTCCTCTCTTCTTCTTCTGGTACCCCATTGATGCGAATGTTGGTATGCTTGATATTGTCCTGGAGGGCCCCTTAAACTACTGTCATTGTTCTGGATTCTTTTTTCTTTTTGCTGTTCTGATTGGGTGTTTTCTGCGACCTTATCTTCTATATCACTGATTCAATCTTCTGCTTCATCTAATCTGTTCATTCCCTCTCATGTACTTTTTA